CTGTTTGAGTAAACCAATGTCTTCCATTTCAGGGTTCTCACCAGGATTTTTTCACAGCGTAGGGGTCAGGTATAGAAGGGCAACTTTCTGCGGCGCGAGTCAAGCACCGAGTCCCCAAAACATGGGCCTGATATTCTCCCCCAAACATTTTGTAACTCATATTAACCACTTAAGACACTATTTATTGTTTATTGGGGGACAGATTTTGTTTTCCCTCTGTTATAGCTTCATTCTTAAGTTATATATTCATTTTTTTAAAGATTAATGAAGCTTCTGCCCCCAAAAACCACCCCTACGCTGGTTGAAACACAGTGTAGGGGGCTAAATCACAGCGTAGGGGGTCAAAATCACAGCGTAGGGGGCCCCTACGCTCAAACAGCCTAGTGAGAACTATGCATTTTTATGTGTTTTTCCTTGAAACCTCTTATTTATATTTTGATCAGGCTAGATGTTTGCAACATGATACGTATGACAGAAATAGATAACTCTTGACACAATAAATCCTGTTGACAGCACTGCCACAGTGCCACAGGTCTATACCAGGTATTATGGATTTATTTATTTACATGTACTTGGAACACACGTTCATTTTGCATTTGATGCTTTCTTTCCATAGATCTACTTCATAAAGGCACAAGCATCATAATTGAATGGATACGATAATTTTTGGAAGGATGTTGATCTATATGTGATAATATGTAGGTCTGGTAGCACAACTGAACTTTGACATTGAACATGACTTTGACAGGATTGTAGCCATAATCTGTAGCCATGGTAACATGAAAGAATGGATGCAGACGTCACGTATATGGGAACATTGTTGCATTTCGCTTTTAGTGGCTCTGTACTCTTGAATTATTGATAACACTTTATTCAATAACGTACTCAATTGTGCAGTTACAGAGAGGCATTTAGAGTTGTTAGATGATATGGAGACCATAGCCTGATGTTATGTAACACATTTAGACTACTGGTATATTGCACCTATGTGATATTCATTATCAAAATAAGATGGTGTATATATATTCATCATCATCATTATCATGTGCGCATATATTTACCAAATGTTGACCAGCCAAAGTTTTGTACATCACTTTACCAAGTAATATAGATCCGGATGTCCTGTTTAGAGGAGACCTTGGTTAAAGTTTAGTCAACAAAGTCCAAACAACAAAGTACTAGTACAATGCACTGTGCAGTCTGTGCAGCCTTGTTTTCATTTTCAAATTTTATGATGCTGATATGAACCTGTACCAATATCAACCCAAGCAAATACCCTATCCTAGGGAAGTACATGTAGTGATAATACTGATGTACCAGTACTTAGTCATTCATATACAATGCAGATAGAGGCATATCCAGTAATTGGGCTGCAACTTATGATGCAAGTTTAGTTACAGCCAACATTTACGGTATAATCAAGTCCAATATTAAGCCTTATTGTTATACAAAGTTTATAGCTTCACAATATAACACCAGCTGTCACCTGATGGTTGACCTAGCCACAGCTGTCACCTAACTAAGGTGATGAGCTGAGGACGGACAAGACGTGGCAACCCTTAAGTCGTACAGGATTAAGACTGTCTTTTCTTATTAAGGTTAAAAGCCTACCTTGGCAGATTGGTATGTCAAAACTGATAAAGTGTTGCTAAGTTGGGTTCAAAACCAGAGCTGGGTAGGTACGCTATTTACTTTTGACAATGTTGGAATTTTGATCTATGTTTTAATGAGTGTCATTATGTGTTGGAGTTTGTTTCATCAGCTGGTGTTTTAGGATTTAATGTGCTTCAGTATTAAGTTCAGTATTTACAATCACTGTACATCTACAAGGGTAACGTATTGTCAAACGATACATATTTCTGTCTTATGTGCAATTTTATGTGGGCAAGCACTGTATATAATTTTTACAGAAATATTTTCTTTATTTATCCAGTGTTTTGGTTTCATACAGATTTTTTGCATGTGCATGAACTATCTGTACATATGAGGTAGGGACTAATAACTGAAAATAGGTTAATGCAAATACTCTAGAAACTGACTAATATTTGCAGAAATCAGGCAGAAATGTTATAGAATACTACATTGTAGTGAAATGATATTCTCCACCATGTTGATTCTGCAGTTCTTGTCCAACATGATAGGCTATCAACAGTAGCAGGGATTGGCATGTCAGGAAAAAAATTGGTAAAACTTTGCACAAAGTTCAAATGTAGTTTTGCAGACTGTAGTATTATTGGCCTTGTGTTGCGTACCTGGATTTTGGGACTGGGACATTTCGCTTTCTGATAAGATGCCCAGATTAAGCTGAGCTATTCTTGCGTTTTGAACGAGGCTTAAAATAGAAAGTGGCCAAACAGGGAAAGGAGGTCCCCTGATGAATATGCAAGACGCTTTAGGTGTTTCTATTTGCAAGGTGTCAAGTGGAGTACACACCCTCCTTTGAGGGTACGATAGGGTATTTGCGAGCACTAAGTTTTGACAATGATAAGAGATCAAAAGCATAGATTCTAACTGTAAACAAAACAAATTGTTTGGTTCTGCATCAGATGTATTCTAATTCATAGCAAGAACTTATGTCTGTCAAGAGTTAGACCTTAGAAAAGTTTTGTGACAGTTCCACCTTCAGTTAGACCCCTATCCTGCCCTTTCACCAAACAGGAAATGCAGGGGATCACGCTGCCCACATCCCCTCAGGAATGACGTAGAAAGCCAAAGCCAGGTAACAACATGGTCCGCTCTTTTGATCTCTGACGTCCTCAGGCTAACTCCAGACAACAGTTTCTCAAAACATCCTCAAGTTTTTTTGGTAGACAGAACCAAGAACGTTCCTGCAGTGTTACCAGCCTGTTTCTCTCTGTTGATTTTTGGGAGTATATAGAACAGCTTGGATGCCAGTTGGTTGACCCACAAGCAGCCCCAGCCTGTGTTTACACTTGTGGGGGTTGGTAGGTCGCCCGTCCTTTACAGAGGTGTTTGCCGATTTCCTTGGGCCCTGCCGCAGGTCGGTGCAAGTATGTGCTGAGAGCCAACTCCGCCCGATTGTGCCGCACAAAGAGAAGGTAAACCTGCCCCTCGTTGAGCGCCGGTTGTCGTGCCGTGTTGACAGACGTCTGCAGTCGTTCGCAGGTTTACATCCATTTTTTTCTTGCAGCAGAAGTACATGTTAGTGTGCAGAGCTCTAACCCAGTATCATGTTTCATGTCCTAGTAGGAGACTATCCCTTCAGCTTTAAGAGTGCAGTGACCCTCATAACTTGGAGAGGTGTTGTCCTTTACAACTTTAAGATTCACCCTGTGCTCTCAAGTTAGGTGACATCCGAAACCATGTTCTGTTCAAGATCGTGTCAGGAAATAGGCCATTTTGTGTTTATTTGATACCTCTTGTGCGCTGAGGCACACCTATATTGTGATAAAAATTACAAGGAGACACCATTACTTTCAGTTGTAACTTTAAAAACCTTCTACATGTACTACCATTTTGAACCCAAAGACCCAAGAGGATATGTTGTTCAGGAGGTGAATTGAGACGTACAAGGCAGACATCCAATTTGCAGGGGCCTAACCAAAGAAAAGACTCGTTGATTCTGTATGATGCAATTATCTCAGCGTGGTGCACAGACAGTTTACCCAAGGCAGGGCCAAGCTTGTGTTCTTTTGACTTGCCACCGACAATGTCATAATAATCAAGCTTTCTACCAGAAGGGCAACTTCTGGGTATAACCTTTCGTTAACAGCCTACTCCCCTAACTATTCCGGTTGTAAATTTTGCTATGTGAAGACGGTATTTTGTACATGTTACATACCTTTTCTAACCAGTCATTCTTTCTCAGAAAGAATTTCCAAACTGTTTTAGTTGTATCAAAAGATTGAAATAGTTCTCCATTAATGGGATATTCACTGTTTAAAATTCTTTGCTGCAGGAAGCAAAGAGAGCAGTGTTGTGTTGGAGCATGGGCTGAATTTTAGCAATGTTGTCAATGTAAATATTGGGAGAGGGTTTGGCAGGCCCTTGTTTGGGGAACACTCCACCGGCCAAATTAGGTTGATTTACTTTCACTACTGAGAGCAACTTCTTCACATTTCTAATCAAAGCTTCCAGGAATTTTCATCTTAATCACAAATTTTTACAAAGAATACATCTTAAGTTTTGGAACTTAGCATATAGATCACATTACATTTGTACAATGATGCAATTTTTTGTTGCTCACTGAAATGTTGAGAGAAAATAATTTTAACACTGAAAGATGCATCATGGCTGTTGATTAATCATGAGACCTATGTCTTATGAAGGTTTAACATACATTGTAGGACTAAAATAGGATTATGGAGTATAAAGGTCTCAGTTCTGACTTCTTAGTCGGCAATCAGAATAAAAGAAATGCATGTTATGTTATTAATTTTCCTGAAAATGTGATGCGTATAGTATGGCCAACTCTTCACAGTTTCCTGCTTGGGTGGTTTGGGGTCATCTTGGATGTTGACAACAGTTTTGCAGTAACAAGCTTGGGCAGATTACACTTTACAATGTACAAAATGTCCAGCATTGGGGAGGGGGGTGTTGTCACAAAAGGGGTGTGGTTAGATGGATTGATCCCTGACCTAGGCAGATGTTTATAAGGGGAAATAGTCGCTTCTGTCTTAGACTCTTTCCATAGACTTTAGTTCTTGATGCTTGTAGTTTAGTTCAGTTATATTCTACAATTTGGGATTTGCAGTTGTGACATTTTATTTCTTCAAGTTGAATCTTTTTAGTCAATGTAGCATTAAATGTGGTTTAATGTCTTTCATTTGATTCTAATATAATAACATTCCCCATCATAATTGTAGCTGTAGATGTTATAATTTGTGTTGTTAATTTTATTATGTTTTGTTTGTTACTAATTTCAATTCAAAGATGTTTACAGGTTTTGCTGTGGGCATTTTTGGTTGTGTTATGGTAATAGTAATGATAATCCGTCTACTTAATAAATGATGTTGTATGTTTTATTTACATTCACAAAGTGCATGTTGCCGAGCAACTTAATCCCAGCATGCATTGCGAGCGGTGCTCGCGACACTGACCCAAGCATGGCACTCCAACGTGACCTTATGAAACCCCGTGTTGTTAATTGTGAGTATGTTACTCCTACCACTGGTCACATTTCATCTGAAGAGACACTGGGGATGTGAAAAATCTGATTAATTATGAGCCATGCTTTGCAACTCGGCTTGAAATACCAACTGCATATGCAGGCTAGGTTAGTGCAGGTAAAGTTGGAGCTATTCAAGTGTTTCCGACATCTACCTGTGCCTAACCTGCACCGATCCATGTCCTGGGTTTATATAGTATCCACATGTAGTATGATGTACATGTAGGAATATGTTGATTTTTATTTGCTGCATTGAATGTTACCACCTACATGTATGAAGATTTTAAAAAATGGCAATGGTTTATGAACAACTTTTTAATGTGATCCATACTTCCTAAATTCTGGCTGGTGCAGGTAAAATTTGTCAGGTAAATTGTAATGCTACTTGATCCAGTGCAGGTATGCAGAAAAAAGTATTTCAAGCCCTGCAACTTGATCCTAAAGCTGGTGTCACACAGCAGTGAATAAAGTACAGATGTATCTCACCCAGCCCAGTTCTGAATTAATTAGACTTTCCATATTCCCAATGTATTTTCAGATGTAAAGTGACCAGTGAAATGTACATGTGGCTGTTTTGTTTCCTGTCAAAGTAGTAGATGGAGTTTGGTGTGTAACAGTAGAGCACTTCCAGGGCTTCTTCTACACAAGTACACGTACCCTCTTTATTATAATGTGATTATGAATGTCATTATAATGTGACCACATCACTACCGTGAAACAAAAAGGTATCACTGTCATTCTTAGATGTTGCTGCTTGGGGTGTACATGTTTGTATTCTTCAAATATAGCATGTACACATGTATATTTGATGTGAGTTACACCTTGTTTTAATCCATCCCTGTCATATTATGTAGATGTAGACTACCTCACTCACCAACACCTTCATAATCGCCTGCCTCGTCTACCTATGTCTGCATTGTATCACTCTTCTGTGACTGTCGGAGCTTAGCATGTATTCTAAACACTTTTATTACTTATAATGGTGTACAGATAGAGAAATTAACAAGGACATAAGCATCATTTTACTTCTTGCTTGTGAAGCGTGTATAAAAAGGCTTACCTACATGTATACCAGCATGTCGCAGAACATACTATGCCTGTGCAAAACCACAGTTTCTGTTTGATATTTGATGTTGCATAAGATATCTTTTCCGACACAATATTTGAAAACTATAAATGGGATGTCATTTTTAAATACGCAATCACAGTCTTCATGGATGAATTCTGTACAATCAAGATTTTGCACAGGCGCAATACATTCTGCCGACATGCTGCCTTTTCTTGTAAGGTACATGTATTTGTCATCTGATTTTAGTAACAAGATTATTTGGTGTGAATCTATCCCATACCTACTTAGGCACATGATGTGGAAAAAGATCCCTCTCTTGTGCTGTTGAAGAGGTGTAATTGGGCAGGCATTTCTAATGAAATTTCACGGAGATTAGCGCAGAAGAAAGTGTCAACATGGCCAGAATAGGAACCCTTTTGTGAGGCTGGCGTTTGCTTGACTGAGCCTGAAGACAGGGCAGTCCTGGTAGAGTTGTCAGACTGTTCCAAGAGAGGATGGAGAATGGGGAGGGGAAGCAGTGAACAAATATGATGTTGTATGGGTCAAAGTGGTATTGATAGCCTGGGTATGCTGGAGAAAATAGCATAGCAAAGCAAAATCTGGATGGTACCTGTATTGGTACTCTATCAAGAGTCAAAAGCTATAACTTATAGTATATTAAAACTCTTTACTTCACTCTTCATAGTCTGAGTTTTGTAGAATGTTACCATTATGAATATGATCAGGCCACAACCAGTAACTTCAGTAATGACAGGTTGCAAATTTTGCCAGACAGTTTACAAATAAGTCAATCAAACTGTTGCTGTCTTCTGTTCCTGTTTGATTGATCAATTACTTGCTAATCAGGTGTTAATTAATTTGCCCGCCTCCTAATTAGAGCTGCTGTGTGCCAGCAGTCTTTGTGGCTGGCTGTGAAAAGAGGTGATAAATGCTTTTATGGACTGAAACTGGCAGCCAATTTGGCATGTAATGCCTTGATCTAATGATAGCGTGATAATCTGTCCAATGTTGTAAGACCACTGGAAGACATCAACATTTTGTACTGGAAAAATTATGCATTGTGATGATGTGCAAGAATATTCATTTTCAATTTTTTTCCAGCAGCTGTAGCAATCAATGATTATAAGTTTTGCTTGCAATTTTCTTGACACATTTAAAACTTCGTCAATCCTATTCAGTGGTATAGATTGAAATTTGATGTGCGAAATATTTTTCTTGGTCTGCTAAGGTTTATACAGCTGTATATAGCCCTCCTCCCACCCTATAACACATGTAAGTGGAACTCAAAGAAACACCAAGAGAGAGAAAGAGAGCAAAACATATGAGGTAAAAGGTTTACACATAAAATATACATGGAAGTAAGTAGCTACAGGCAAAAAGAAGAAGCTGTTGTCAGTGTCAGTGCATCCCCTGTTATTGTTGGGTCTGCGAGGTGGATCAGTGTTATTGTTATGTCTCTCTAGGTTTCCCCCAGTAGGAAAGACAGGTTCCATATGTAATTAGCATCATCTTTGTTCTTTTAAGTAACAGTATTAAAAATGAAACTGTGGTATTAACTATTAAAAAAAGTTGTTACTCAGTAAATGGCAAGAACCAACCAACCAGTGTACTTCAAAGTTGGAGAAGTAATTTGGAGAATGAGGCAACCCTCAAGTCACGTTTGAAACCATCAGGTTTCCTTACAGAATCCAGAGGGAATCTGCTAAGTCTCAGCCTGTTATCTACCTCCCAATTTCTTCTCCTTTCTTGGCACAAACTCTAAGGAGTTGGGTTCTGACCCTTGTGTATGTGTTGATAAGACTGAACAGAGAACTTTTAAGAAAAGCATCCCGTACTTGTCTCTGTCGGTAGGTTTGATCCCTTCCAGGTTTAGTTTGGTGAAAACACTTAACCGTTGACCCTTGCAAGGGGTCATCGTATATCTGCCCCACCTTCCCAGCTAACAAAGGCAGACTTGTTCTACTTTAGCTGTGTTATAGGAACTTTGACTCTGTTATCAAAGGTGAAGAAGTTTTAGAAGTTTGCAAACACTGTGACCAATGTACATGTGTCTTGTACCAAAGGTATCACGTTAAAAACAACCCATATATCGCCACCTAAAACTTTTCCACAAAACAAGGAGGATTTTGTTGAGTAGTATTTACTTTGACATATAAGCGTAGCGGAAAGTCAAGCATGTTTTAACAACTTTTTACACTTAATTTCTTCCAAGGACCTTACAAGGTCACGCTTGCAATGATTTCTATCAAGGCGACCTATATTTCCTCTGGATGATAAATAGCCACAAGGTATTGCCAATTAGCATAAATATTATATGATATGTCTCTCATGTAATATTAAGAGATAACAGCGTGCTTACCTTGATGTTGCTGTGTACCTGCCAGTGGTTGTTGAAGCCCTACTGGGGATAGTTTACCTCTCTTGGGTAGCTGCCCAAGCAAAACAGAAGGGTTGTCTCAACTATTGACAGAAATAAATGACTTCATGCCAGTGAATGTTCGGCTATTGAGTCATATGGATTTTCCCATCTGAACTGGGCTGGAGGAGCGCTACACCTCTACTGCAGCCTGGCGGCTTCTAACACCAGCAAGGAGTTTATCAAACACTGCGAGCCGAACTTTCCGGAAAGGAGTGCAAGCAGGGCCGGTAGAGCCGCTGGTTTCCTGTTTCCAGCCTGTCCCATTGTTTGTAGTGGATTTTTCCCGGGGCTGGGTGGGACACGCAAACCCTCAGGAAGTGAGGAGAAGTCTGGGTAAAAGCTAGACGTTGGGGGAACCTCGAGGAATGACTCAGAACAACATCATGGCTATGGAGGTAGAAGCAGGGTTCCAACAATGTGTGGAGAACTTCGGTAGGTACAAGACTTGTCTTGTCTTTAAAGACATGATTTAAGGAACTGGTTGTGTCTGTCAGCTGTCTTGGATTGAGTGGGAGTAAGTGTAAGACTTTCTTGAAGCAGGAATAGTGTTCAGTTGTCGTAAAGTTTTGATTTAACATTTTTCAGACATATTTGAGATTCTTTGTACTAGTGTCTGAGGAAGTAGACATATGTTCTCCTTGGATGGCCCCTACATGAAGCTGGAATATGCGATGTACAACTTGTACCGTTGTGATCGTCAAAGCGTGTCCACCTGTCATTGAGCTATTTCATGACAGTTACATACTCCCACCTTTTGTAATGTACCTGATATGTGTGTACAGTAGTTTGGTAGGACCTCCCCCCTCTTGTTGTTTTTCCCTGGGACAAATTTGGTGGGCACACGGGGTTTAATGGAGACAAATATTTCGGGGCACCCTATGGTGGTGTCTGCACTCTGTGGTCAAGGGAGCTTTGACTCTTCCAGCATTTTTGCAAACAAAGTGGCTGCCAAATCTGAGGCACGTTTGTCACGCAAGTCTGGGGCTCTATCTACCGAACAGGGGATTGGGGTGGGAGAGATCACTACAGTAGTACATGTACCGTTACGTACCTACCGACTGGCTGGTACTGCTAGTACATGACATGTACATGGCAGGGATTTGAGTTATGGGTGTTGTCATTGTGGTTTTGTGGGATTTTATGTACTAAAGAATTTTATAGGCTTGTATTATGAGGAAATTGGTGCTTGGGTTTGTTGTTAAGTTTATCAACTAGACACATTTTATAGGCAATGATTTAACCTACTTTTAGTGCATAATTAACACTCACATGCATTTGTGGATTGTTCAACTTCAAGGAAGGGGATATGACTGTTTAAATGTCATATCCCCTTTCTACTAAGTGTTTGGTTCCAGCCTATTTCCATGACATACATTGTATTGTTCCAGCAGAGCTTTCTTACATATATATAATTGGCATGTATCTGCTGTCACTAGCTTGTATTACATTATACTTTTCCTATGGAACTGTAGAGGTTGTCTTTAAATCAATGAGGATCTGGAATGGTTTTTTGATGGGTTTAATCTCTAGGGAGACTTTGTATTGTTGCGAGAATTTTGATGTAAAGAACTTTTCAATTACAACTTAGTCTGCTAAAATATAATTTATTGAAAGTAAACAGGTGGTAATCTTACAGCCCAAAACAAGGTTGATCACAAGTTATAGGACTCTATACGTGCCTACCGCCCCCTCAATACCCTCTAGCATTGGATTGCGAGTTTCTGGCTCGGATGTGTCACTTGTGACGTACTGGCAGGTTAGAGAAAACAGGTTTCCTGTTGTTCTTATATGGTCAGGTCTGAACCAGGGAAAGACCTGGCTACTAACGCGTCACCATTCCACTCACAGGAAAGACATTTCAAGAATTTTCTAAACTTCCAACAAATATTTTAAGTTTCTTGAACCTTTTATATCCTTAATAGGATAGTTTTCTTCAAAAATTTTCATTTCTTCTAGTAGAAGTTCTACAAGTAGCAGTATTACATTGATATGTAACATATTTATGGTACTACCTAATATTCATTGTTGTCTGACTTCTGTAACATGATACAGAGATATTGTACTTGACACAATGTGCTCTTAAGTAGTGTCATTACACTAAGAGTGAAAGTTTTTGGAGAGCGGTAGAGAAATAGAACGATACATGTATGATGGGCGACTTTTTTGATTCCCTATTGTCAGTACAGGGTCAGGAAGAAAGTATTTAAAAACTTTTTCCTCATGAAGTAAAATACATGTATATACTGTATGTAGGTTTTACTGAACTTTTACTGTATCAGTCTATATGTACTATAAATGATAAAATATTTTCTTTCGATTGTCTTGTTCACTGTGTTATTCACTAGCTTGAAATATTTTGAATTTGAGTTTGAATTTGATTTGTAAAGGAATAGTACCATCCTATTTTTGAGACTGACTGACAGTGAGAATCCCTAGAGAAATTACAATGTTTAAAACTAAAAGTTGATATATCTACCTTCAATCAAGATCTACAGTTCAATATTTGCAGAGCACTGTTTTTTAACAACAGCAGCCACAAAACAGTGACTGCAGATATTGATTTCTTAGTAAAACGCTTCTGCAGAGGAAGACAGTCAGACTGGGTCCTGCCAAATGATTCACTGTCCTGACTGGTGGGGTACTATAAACTGTGCGACATGTGTGTATTTAGCTTCAGAAATTACATTGTGTATTTATGCCTTTTCCTGGGAAGAGCATCCCTGAGGTCAGGCAGTGTTGATGTTTCTTATGTCAGAACCAAGGTGAAACAGTAACAGAACACAATGATAAATGGGGGGAAGAGAGGCTATGAAAGAACCCAACTGTTCCGTGTTCCGTACAGCTTATTTGTGTGGGCGGCCATGTTTGTGTGACCTTGACAAACAGGAAAGAGTTCATCCATGTTTTCATGCTGGATTTCAGAAGTATTTCCCAGTTATTTTTGGACAGTGCAAGGCTGAATTCCTGACATAAGGTCAGATATAACTGTGAGCATTCCTGTCATGTCATGTCTGTTGTTTGTGGGGAATCTGGTGGTGATGACTGATTATTGTTAGTAACCAGGCAACAAGGGATCCTTGTCTTAGACAAGATGTGTCGGTTTTTGTATCATAAGTTCTTATCAATTCCATTTAGTACTAGTGATGATATGGCAAAAAAAAAACAGGCAGGGAAAGTAAAAAACAAAGATTATATCATTGATACAAGAGATCCTTGTTTTGGACAAGTCATGTGTCAGTTTTTGTATATTAAGTTCTTATCAATTCCATTACTAGTGCTGGTATGGCAAAAAAAGAAGCGGGTAAAGTAAAAAACAAAGATAATATCACAGATATGCTGTCGCTGTTTTGGTTTAGCAAGGAAGTACTGGCAGATAAGCCAATTATGATGTGCATCAACTGCATGGCATTTTTTTCATGATATTTGTCAAGATATAGTACGCTCTTTTCTTATGGTCAAGTTTTGATGATTGATAAAAGATAAATGAATGATTGAATATTTGCATATTTCTCTACATTCATCTTTAACAAAGCCTTTATGTAACTCTAGTGCTTTTTCCTCTTTGGAACTTTCGTGTGAAAGGTTTCAATGCAGAACATGATATACATGTAGGTTGTGTTGCCATGTCTTGCTGTAACTATAGGAAAAAGTGTCTGAATGTAAGATACTAAGAATTCTTGAATTCTTGAATTGTAATTTCTTTTTTCTTCATTCCTTGGTTCTCAGAGATCAGTTTTAATTTCAATACACATATTTCTTTTTTTCTTGTAGTTGTATTCTGAGCCCTAGTCACCAATATCTGATACCGGTATCTCACACACTGAGGTACTGATCATGACTTGTATAATATTTGGTGGCTGGGAACCAAGGAAAACTTTGGGTGTGGTGCAAGCAAAACCTTTCCCTATAGCTTATATGATAAAAGTTATTAACTTTGTACTAGGCCGAACTTGTACCTTGAGTTCTGCATACAGAAGTACTTCAGGCCAATTAGGACAACCCGAATCAGCCAGATCTCTGATTTTGCTTACTTACACTACAAGTTACAGGTTGTACATGTAATTTGTTGCCAAGTTACAATGTATATTGATGATTATGCAACAAGCTGACTTCTTCCGCTGTGATTTAGATTAACGTAGGTTCATATGCCGGAGCTTGCATTGAATGTCTTGAATGTGATGACAACCATGATATAGTCTCGTTATCGTACAGTACTGATGATACTTGTAACCTCCCCACAGATGCACTATTAGCTGACCTTGAGCAGACCATTCCAAAAAGGCCGCCTTACCCACGGGAAGGGCTCGACCACGACCCGGCGCCACCGGTCCCCCCGCCGCCTGCGCCCGGAGCGATAAACGGGACAGCTGACAACGGAGCAGACTTTCCTCCTCCACCGTCAGAACAACAGGTATAGCCAGAGGTGTAGCCCTGTTAGCGTAAGACTAAGAATTAGAAAGATAACATATGCAAGAATCTGCAGGGCTCTAAATACTTGATTTCCCTTTTCTGCAATATGATTGATGCTACTGAGACTACATCACTTTAGTCTGCAAATTTGCAAGTTATTGGTGTTGTTTTCTACAATCTCAAAAATTTTTCTGCTAGTTGCAGGTCTGTATTTTGAGCCCTGAAGATGTTTGTGTTGTCATTTGTTGTCCTTCAATGTCTAGCTGTGCTTCTTTGATAAGTCTTGTTATCAGCAATCAAATCAACCCCTTTCCTTCCTTCCCCTGTGTGTCTGTGTACAACAGGAAGATTCACATTTTCATCATTTCCAGTTAAAATGTCAACTTACCACAGTAACAGTATAACAGATGTCTTTTTATAGAGCCAAGAACCTTTTTTTTCATAACATGTTACCTAGGTAACACATAAACAAGCAATTTACACCAACAAAGTTTTACACCAATAAATACTGACTTCAGATAATATGTCATATAGCTTTCGGTGTACTGTTTATGTTGGAAGAAAAGGCCTTGGGGAAAAAAGTTGTCATCTTTAATTAAGCGACTCCCTCTAAAAAACATGACCTGTAACATTAACATATCTTTGCACTTGAGAAGTGCCAGGTCTGAGACTCTGCAGAGATGGGATGAAATATTGTCTCCTCGCCCGTCTGACACTAAGTCTATTGAAAAACTTGGGCTGCCTTCCCAGAATAGTTGGGAAGAAAGGAGCCGTCAGTTGATGAATGTCCACTTCCCACATCGACTTGTCACTGATGTATGACCACCCTCCCCACCTCACTGAGAGATCTGCCCAGCTAGAAATTGAACACCAAATCCTCGCACCCTGCTGGTCCAAAAATCAATGCTTGTTCAGCACTTCTGTAGGAAAGAACACAGGCAGTCGCCGCCGTGCTATTGACTCTAATGGTATCACTGATGAGACAATTTGCCCTGCAATACTTAGATTAGTAGGCTGGGGCGAACGCGGTCCCTTAATGACCGATTCGGTAGTAATAAGCAATTAATGTTAATGATATTGTGACTGAAGGCTATATTTGAGAGGTCTGGAGCGTGTATAACAGCTTGACTCTTATGGCGCCTGTGATCACACTAAATTGCTACTTATTACACGAATCACCCCTCAGTTGGCGGTATCTCAACCAACCCGTGTATTAGACGAGAACTTGGGGGGTTTTGCCGAGATTCGACATTTACTGTTATTGGCCTGTAGGGTGCTTTACGAGGTGTCTACAAATTCCAAGTTTCCTGCCTGTGAATTATTGATGTTGTAAGATGTAGTTTGTTTAACACAGATCATGGTGACAGTATTTTAGGCCGGGTGAGTGAGGTTGAAACCGTATGGAATGTCTAGAAGAAGAAAAAATTACTTTTCAATATTAATCTCACCAAGGTCTTAGTAATCTTGCTCATATTTCACACTGACATTTATTAGTTATCATGATCAGTCACTGTTACAGATACTTGCACAGTAATTTTTTCAAGGTGCAAGTGCTTAAAGTTTGAACTTGAACAGACCCATCATTTTCATAGATTTTTTTTTCCCCAAACTTTCACTTATCAACTTATCTTTTTGGATGTGTTCTCCCTTGTTTCCCTTACTAACTCGATATACCTTTAAGCACTGTTACTGTACAAATGTACATGTAGACTTATAATTGATATGCTTAATATGATTTTCTTTGCACAAGTAGTACAGTAGTATCCTATATTTGCACATCACATATGGCTACTCTTTAATTTAAATATACTGCTGGTGATTTCTTTTTACTCAAGATTTGCTATTCTTGTAGTTGTAGATTTGGTGTGTGATCCTTCTCACCTGTAAGCCCTGTCATACACATAACTATCAACACCTTAACAGTTTATAGTATGATCCAAACTTACTAAATTCTGAGCAGTGCAGGTAAAATTTGTCTGGTGCTGGTTATTCTCAATGTTACCTGCACATTTCTCAAGCTCTACTGTCAATTCTGTCAAAGCCTCATTGAAAATCAAAGTGACAAAAAAGTTCTGTTAGAGAAACTTTAAACTAAACGTGTGTGACAGTGGCTTGAGGTATGCCACACCTGAAGTTCTCTCACCTGTAGAAACTAAAGGTGTGCAGCGTGTGATTCTTTACTTCACCTGGGTTTCTCCCCACAGTTAGCAGACTCCCTGCATGAAGGCCAGTTTGCACATGTTAGCAACTCGCATGCCTCCTCCCCTCACAACCCAGGGCCTCCCACCTCACCAGTGAGATCAGCTTCTTGTTTCTTTAAAACAGGGCTGTATCTTTGCCAATCCCAAAATGCAACACTCTCCTGATGTTTCCTAATATCCCAGCATGCCCCAGTCTGCTGGTTGTTTCCTAATATGGACATTTTGGAAGGTTTATAGGATTGGTTTAGATACAGCTTCTGTTTTTTTTCTTTATTCCTTTTCTCTTTCTTTTTAATCAATTTTTAATCTATAATAATTTATCTTGTAATTTCTTGGTTAACGTTATTTTATGTGTAACATAATATTTTATGACATGAAGAGTTGAGCAGTGAATTCAAGATCTGCTTCACTTTTCAATTCTATTGAATGTTAATTTATTTTGTTGGTAGTTGTATATATTGTGCCAAGTACACAGTGTATGATATTGATAGTCTGAATTGTTTAATGTAATTTTTCCGTCATGTTTGTGAATTTCAATGTCAGCAAAAACCCCGAGAAGAATATCTTCACATTCAAGCAAGATGTCAGGGCCATTTTGAAAAGCTGAGCGATTTTGAGATCTAAGTTATATGAGATTCAGTCAGCGACCACTTTCAATACATTGCTCCATTGCCTTTCTAGTAAATTCTACCATCAAAAGCTGCTGACCGTGCCTGTACGATAAAAAGAATCTTCACAAGCAAGATGCCAAGGTCATTTTTAAAATCTGATAGATTTTGAGATCTAAGTTATATGAGATTCAGTCAGCGACCACTTTCAATACATCGCTCCATTGCCATTCTACCATCAAAAGCTGCTGATTGTGCGTACACCATATTTGAAAAGAAAGCCATCCCCAGCCCACACAAGGACTATTGATTGAGCATTGGGTGATTGAAGTTGGGCTTGTGCGGTATGATTGCCCAGAAGCAATGTTATCACGGTGTAAATGAACCTTTAAGCACCAATATCGCACCCTTCCCGGACCAGGTCAATATGGACCTGCCACCAACAACTTATCAAACAGCCCGGTGCACCCAGGCAATCTG